GGTGGCCTACCATGACCTCGGGTGGCCTACCATGACCTCGGGTGGCCTACCATGACCTCGGGTGACCTACCATGACCTCGGGTGGCCTACCATGACCTCGGGTGGCCTACCATGACCTCAGGTGGCCTACCATGACCTCAGGTGACCTACCATGACCTCAGGTGGCCTACCATGACCTCGGGTGACCTACCATGACCTCGGGTGGCCTACCATGACCTCAGGTGGCCTACCATGACCTCAGGTGACCTACCATGACCTCAGGTGGCCTACCATGACCTCAGGTGACCTACCATGACCTCAGGTGACCTACCATGACCTCAGGTGGCCTACCATGACCTCAGTTTGACCTCTTCATTGCTAGGTGAAATCTCTGCCCTCATTTATAATTAAATCTAATCTGACCAACTATACACCAGAGAGCAACAACCTCCATCATCTCCCATTGGTCACCTCAAGGCTGAAAACTCCCATGACCCCTCCCATTGACTGACAACCACCCTCATCTCTCATTGGGCACCTCAGGGCTGACAACCCCATGACCCCTCCCATTGACTGACAACCATCCTCATCTGCCATTGGTCTTTCCAGAACTGACAACTCCCGTGACCCCTCCCAATGACTGACAACCACCCTCATCTGCCATTGGTCACCTTAGGACTGACAACTCCCATGACCCCTCCAATTGACTGACAACCACCATCATCTCCCATTGGGCACCTCAGGACTAACAACTCCCATGACCCCTCCCACTGACTAACAACCCCCCTAATCTCCCATTAGTCTCTCCAGGATTGACAACCCCAAGACCCCTTCCATTGACTGACAACCACCATCATCTCCCATTGGTCATCTCAGGATTGCCAACTCCCATAACCCCTCTTTTAGTGACTGACAACCGCCCTCATCTCCCATTGGTCATATGAGAACTGACAAATCCCATGACCCCTCCAATTGACTGGCAGCCACCATCATCTCCCATTGGTCTCTCCAGGACTGACAACTCCCTTGACCCCTCCCACTGACTGACAACTACCCTCATTTCCCATTGGTCTCTCCAGGACTGACAACTCTCAAGACCCCTTCCACTTACTGACAACCACCATCATCTCCCATAGGTCATCTCAGGACTGACAACTCCCATAACCCCTCTTTTAGTGACTGACAACCGCCCTCATCCCCCATTGGTCACATGAGAACTGACAACTCCCATGATCTCTCCAGCTGACTGACAACCACCATCATCTCACAATGGTCCCCCTAAGACTAACGAGCTTCCATGACCCCCTCATTGACTCACAACCACTCAAATCCGATGATTATCCTCTTAGGACTGGCAGTCCCCATGATCCTCCCACATTGACTGTTGACCAACCACATCTAACAATAGTACCCCTAGGACTTAAAACCCTCCATGGTCTGCCTCATTGACTGACAACCACCCAGGTCTCACAATGGTCCAACCAGGACTGACAAGCCTCCATGACCCCCCTCTTTGACTGTTGACCACACACATGGTGCACCCCAGAGTGACAACCTCCATGACTGACCCGTCATTGACTGATGACCACCAATATCTTAAAACAGTCCCACCTAGGACTGACAACAACTTTAGCCACCTCATTGAATGACAACCATCTCCATCCTAAAATGTCCCCTAAGACTGACAACCCCCATGTCCCCCTTCATTGACCGATGACCACTCCTGATCTTGAGTCCAGGTGGTCCCCTGGATATGTTGACTGTAGGGGGTGATGGGTCCTGACACAGAGTGGGGTCTTATCTACTGATGGAGACACCCTGACCAGTCAGGACAGAGGGAGGAGTCTTACTTCTGTTTATTGTAGGGGCTCTCGAAGGTGATGTTCTCCTCCACGGTGGCGTTCAGCAGCCATGGTTTCTGGGAGGCGTAGGCCACCGCGCTCCTCCGCCTAGGAGAGAACATACAGAAGGTGACACACCGCCACGTACAAGACCATGAAGAGTATGACCCCGCCCTCAATCCCAGACCCCCTCATAGGACAGATCCTCCAGTATGTGCCCCACAGGGGTAAGAGGGGCATTAGAGGGACTGAGAATGTCAGGGAGCAGAGCGTGAGGTAGGTGACTCCTTCTATAGGTAAGTATAATAACATCATAAATCTGTACAAGTACCATTTATAGGAAAGCATACTGTAGGTGGCTCCCTCTACAGGTAGGTATACAGGGAGGCGACACCTTCTACAGGTATATGTGGGTGTGTACAGGTAGGTGACCCTACCATATGTCTCATAATGTAATAATGAAGATGTACTGGTAGATGACACCTTACAAAGGTATACAGGTAAGTGACACTTTCTATAGGTAGGTACACAGATATATGGATATGCAATACCCTTTATAGGTAGGTACATGGATATACAGGTATTTGGCACCCTCTACAGGTAGGTATACAGATATACATGTGGGCAGCACCCTCTATAGGTAGGTAGACACAAATATAGGTAGGCGACCTCCTTTACAGGTAGGTAAACAGGCAGTCAGGTATGCAATCTTCTCTATAGGTAGGTAGGTAGGTAGGTAGGTAGGTATCCTGTAATATTGATCACAGGACTCATGAGACAACTGATGACACCCCAAGGAAAAAACAGCCCCACTGACCACCTACCTCCTGTCTATAAATGTGTCTGCCAGGAGCAGTGGCGGAGTACACAGAACTATCATACAGTGAGGGAAAGAAGGATTTGATCCCCTATCATTCAGCAGGATTTCTGGCTCCCAGGTGTCTCTCATACAGGTAACAAGCTGAGATTAGAAGCAGTCTCTTAAAGGGAGTGCTGCTAATCTCATTGTGTTCCCTGTATAAAAGACACCTGTCCACAGGAGCCATCAAACCATCAGATTCCAAACTCTCCACCATGGCAAAGACCAAAGAGCTGTCCAAGGATGTCAGGGACAAGATGGTAGACCTACACAAGGCTGGACTGGGCTACCAAACTATGGCCAAGCAGCTTGGTGAGAAGGTGACAACAGTTGGTGCAATCATTCACAAATGGAAGAAACACAAAACAAGTGTCAGTCTCCCTAGGTCTGGTGCACCATGCAAGATCTCACCTCGTGGAGTGTCAATGATCATGAGAACAGTGAGGAATCATCCCAGAACTACACGTGAGGATCTTGTCAATGATCTCCAGGCAGCTGGGACCACAGTCACCAAGAAAACAATTGGTAACACACTACGACAAGGACTGAAATCCTGCAGTGCCCCCGCACGGTCCCTCTGCTCAAGAAAGCCCATGTCCAGCCCGTCTGAAGTCTGCCACTGAACATCTGAATGATGCCGAGGAGGACTGGTGGGAAGTGTTGTGGTCAGAGGAGACCAAAATCCAGCTCTTTGGCATCAACTCACTCGCCATGTTTGGAGGAGGAGGAATGCTGCCTATGACCCCAAGAACACCATCCAACTGTGAAACATGGTGGTGGAAACATTCTGCTTTGGGGGGGTTTTTCTGATAACGGGGACAGGACAACTGCACCACATCAAAGGGACGATGGACGGGGCAATGTACCCTCAAATCTTGGGTGAGAACCTTCTTCCCTCAGCCAGGGCATTGAAAATGGGTGGTGGATGGGTGTTCCAGCATGACAATGACCCAAAACACCCGGCCAAGGCAACAAAGGAGCGGCTCAAGAAGAAGCACATTAAGGTCCTGGAGTGGTCTAGCCAGTCTCCACACCTTCATCCGATGGAAAATCTGTGGAGGAGCTGAAAGTTCGAGTTGCCAAACGTCAGCCACCAAACCTTAATGACTTGGAGAGGATCTGCCAAGAGGAGTGGGCCAAAATCCCTCCTGAGATGTGTGCGAACCTGGGGGCCAACTCCAGGAAACGTCTGACCTTTGTGATTGCCAACAAGGGATTGGCCACCAAGTACTAAGTCATGTTTTGTGAAGGGGATCAAATCCTTCTTTCCCTCACTGTAAGTCAATTCCCACTCGGCACATACAGCCCCTCCCCCACCAATCCTGAGAGGGATAATCAATATGACAACCAATAGAGCGTCTGCTGAGTGTGCCGAGGGAATTCCTCGTCTGTCTATTATTAATTCTCCGCCGGGTGACGTTGGACACATCAGCCGGATCATCTCTGCCAAACACCGCCAGCCGCCAACATCTGTCCGCTCCAATTCCCTCCGTAATCGTATTACCACCCCCCCTGAGATCCCAACTAATTAAATAGAACAATTCCATCCCGGCTTCATCATTAGTGGCTGCAGCCGGAGGGTCTCCAGAGACGATTAACCCCGGGGGGGGATATAACGAGTGAGATAACAAGTGGGGGAGATGTCATCACACCGACCGCTAATGTATGATGTGACACCCGACCACCAATCAGATATAACCGACGGATTTCATCACCGACCGGGCAGAGACGATGGAGGGGGACAAAGAAAATGTTCCCCACCCATGACCCATCAGGACTCCCCTGACGGTGGGGGAGGACAAAGAAAACTATCCCCTCAATAATGTCCCCGGACTCCCCCCCCCCTTTATATTATCCCCTCCCCCCGATGGAATGTCCCCGGACTACCCTCCCCCCCTTTATATTATCCCCTCCCCCCCGATGTCCCCGGACTCCCCTCCCCCCCAATAATGTCCCCCTGACTCCCCTCCCCCCCCTAATATTATCCCCTCCCCCCCCCTGATAATGTCCCCCGACTTCCCCCCCCCCCCTTATATTATCCCCTCCCCCCAGTAATGTCCCCGGATCTCAGGAGGGTCCATATTGTATATTTGTTCCTCTGTAGTACCTGATCTCCACATCGATGGCGCTCTCCCTCTCTGGGCTGCAACACAGGAAAGTTAGATGGTGATAATGACATCATACAACATGGAGGTCAGTCATGGCCCGGTCCTGTATGGAAGTCAGTCATGGCCCGGTCCTGTACCATGTATGTACGGAGGTCAGTCATGGCCCGGTCCTGTACGGAGGTCAGTATGGCCCGTCCTGTACGGAGGTCAGTCATGGCCCGTCCTGTACGGAGGTCAGTCATGGCCCGGTCCAGTATAGAGGTCAGTCATGGCCCGGTCCTGTATGGAGGTCAGTCATGGCCGGTCCTGTATAGAGAAGTCAGTCATGGCCCGGTCCTGTATGGAGGTCAGTCATGGCCCCGGTCCTGTATGGCGGTCAGTCATGGCCCAGTCCTGTATAGAGGTCAGTCATGGTCCGGTCCTGTATAGAGGTCAGTCATGGCCCGTCCTGTATAGGAGGTCAGTCATGGGTCCGGTCCTGTATGGAGGTCAGTCATGGTCAGGGAGGTCAGTCATGGCCCGGTCCTGTACGGAGGTCAGTCATGGCCCGGTCCTGTACGGGGGTCAGTCATGGTCCGGTCCTGTATGGAGGTCAGTCATGGCCCGGTCCTGTATGGAGGTCAGTCATGGCCCGGTCCTGTATAGAGGTCAGATGGCTCCTGTACGGAGGTCAGCCCGGTCCTGTATAGAGGTCAGTCATGGCCCGGTCCTGTATAGAGGTCAGTCATGGCCCGGTCCTGTATAGGAGGTCAGTCATGGCCCGGTCCTGTATAGAGGTCAGTCATGGCCCGGTCCTGTATAGAGGTCAGTCATGGCCCGGTCCTGTATAGAGGTCAGTCATGGCCCGGTCCTGTATAGAGGTCAGTCATGGCCCGGTCCTGTATAGAGATCAGTCATGGCCCGGTCCTGTAGCATGGTCTAGCAGTCTCGTATTTGCGGTTGGCTGGTTGGGGAGACGCCAGATCTGATGTCTATTTCTGGGTCTGTGACGTCCGGATCTATTTCTGGAGACACGATCTCACCTGAGGTCCTCTCCGGGTCACTCTCGGGGACATTGCTGAAAACAGGAAAGGAATTGTTTATCTGAGTGTTTGGTACAATCTGCTCCTCCCCGTTATCTGCGGCCCATTAACCTCATCACACAATATAACCGACAGATTGTCCTGAGGACTGATTGTGGTGACAGACGGCCTTATCAGTGCAGCAACCCGAGTGAGACTCATTACCCGGAAACCCATGGCAGATATTTGTTGTATGAGGTCCATCTGTCCTCCCGGAGATAATACGGCTTCATTACCGATACTGAGGGGGGGGGGGGGAGAAAGGGGGGGGGGGGATGGGGGGGGGGAAGGGGGGGGGGAGGGGGAGGGTCATCCACACTCATTACAACCAATACTGATGGTTCAACAAACGTTCCTCCAATGATATTCCCCATCACCAGAAGAATTGTACAATATACAGTGCAGGAAATGTGTATTTGCTCCCCCCCGATGCTGAATGTTCGCCCCTCACACAGAAACGATCGGTCTAACAATGGAATGTTCTCCCCTCACACAGAAACGATCGGTCTAACAATGGAATGTTCTCCCCTCACACAGAAACGATCGGTCTAACAATGGAATGTTCGCCCCTCACACAGAAACGATCGGTCTAACAATGGAATGTTCGCCCCTCACACAGAAACGATCGGTCTAACAATGGAATGTTCGCCCCTCACACAGAAATGATCGGTCTAACAATGGAATGTTCGCCCCTCACACAGAAATGATCGGTCTAACAATGGAATGTTCGCCCCTCACACAGAAATGATCGGTCTAACAATGGAATGTTCGCCCCTCACACAGAAACGATCGGTCTAACAATGGAATGTTCGCCCCTCACACAGAAATGATCGGTCTAACAATGGAATGTTCGGTGTACACACACTGAGGTCTACAGAATACAACAAAACAAATTCAGCAGAAATTCAGCAGAAACGATCGTCTAACAAATGATGACGGATCTGCATGTTCATGAGGGAAAGAAGGATTTGATCCCCTTCACAAAACATGACTTAGTACTTGGTGGCCAATCCCTTGTTGCCCCTCACACGAACGATCGCAATCACAAAGGTCAGACGTTTCCTGGAGTTGGCCCCCAGGTTCGCACACATCTCAGGAGGGATTTTGGCCCACTCCTCTTGGCAGATCCTCTCCAAGTCATTAAGGTTTGGTGGCTGACGTTTGGCAACTCGAACTTTCAGCTCCTCCACAGATTGTCCATCGGATGAAGGTGTGGAGACTGGCTAGGCCACTCCAGGACCTTAATGTGCTTCTTCTTGAGCCGCTCCTTTGTTGCCTTGGCCGTGTGTTTTGGGTCATTGTCATGCTGGAACACCCATCCACCACCCATTTTCAATGCCCTGGCTGAGGGAAGAAGGTTCTCACCCAAGATTTGAGGGTACATTGCCCCATCCATCGTCCCTTTGATGTCCCCTTACCAGAACCCCCCCCCCCCAGCAGAATGTTTCCACCACCATGTTTCACAGTTGGGATGGTGTCCTTGGGTCATAGGCAGCATTCCTCCTCCTCCAAACACGGCGAGTTGAGTTGATGCCAAAGAGCTGGATTTTGGTCTCCTCTGACCACAACACTTCCCACCAGTCCTCCTCGGCATCATTCAGATGTTCAGTGGCAGACTTCAGACGGGCCTGGACATGGGCTTTCTTGAGCAGAGGGACCGTGCGGGGGCACTGCAGGATTTCAGTCCTTGTCGGCGTAGTAGTGTGTTACCAATTGTTTTCTTGGTGACTGTGGTCCCAGCTGCCTGGAGATCATTGACAAGATCCTCACGTGTAGTTCTGGGATGATTCCTCACTGTTCTCATGATCATTGACACCCCACGAGGTGAGATCTTGCATGGTGCACCAGACCTAGGGAGACTGACACTTGTTTTGTGTTTCTTCCATTTGTGAATGATTGCACCAACTGTTGTCACCTTCTCACCAAGCTGCTTGGCCATAGTTTGGTAGCCCAGTCCAGCCTTGTGTAGGTCTACCATCTTGTCCCTGACATCCTTGGACAGCTCTTTGGTCTTTGCCATGGTGGAGAGTTTGGCAATCTGATGGTTTGATGGCTCCTGTGGACAGGTGTCTTTTATACAGGTAACACAATGAGATTAGCAGCACTCCCTTTAAGAGACTGCTTCTAATCTCAGCTTGTTACCTGTATGAGAGACACCTGGGAGCCAGAAATCCTGCTGAATGATAGGGGATCAAATCCTTCTTTCCCTCACTGTATGAAAGACACCTTCAGCAGGGGAGCAAATACGCATTTCCTTCTCTGTAACCAAGAGAGACTCATCCACCAACTCCAACATCCACCGAGAGAACCCCCAGACCCTCCAATCTCCCCGAAATCCACCAGGAGAACCCACAGACCCTCCAATCTCCCCAACATCCACCAACAGAACCCCCAGACCCTCCAATCTCCCCGAAATCCACCGAGAGAACCCCCAGACCCCCCATTATCTCGGACTCACCTGTTCCAGCACACATCTCCCCCCCATATCCCCCCCATCCCCCCATTATCTCAGACTCACCTGTTCCAGCACACCTCTCCCGAGATCTTGCTCGTCTCGCCCAATGTCGCCAACAGAAGCGATGACTTCCCACACCCCACCTGTCCTACAATCATGGTCAGCTGACCTGTGGAAGGCAGAAACACATCTATGAATAGGAAGTTTTTGTCCTTTTTTTACCACCCAGAGATGTGCTGCACAACCCGCAGAGAGGAGGATCTGGGGTACAATGACGGTATAAAGGGGGACTTCCGCATTGGGGTGACACCGACATCTGCCCCTCTATGTACCCCCCCCCCCCCCCCCCCGGACCCCCATCGTGGAGGACTGTGCTGGGGGACACCACGAGGGTCACCATGGAAGATCAGATTCCTGGTCTGAAGGTGAAGACCCCCCAATATCTTCACAGTGTCCCAGCCTCCAATCTGATTGGATTGTACACTAGATGCAGAGAATGTGGGGGGGCGAGGAGGTCCCTTCTTATTGGCTCATTGTGGCAAAATCGTGCTCAAAGCTCCGCCCACTGGGAGTTCCACCTTCTACATCGAGAATTAAACACACAGATAGCCAATCAGAGGACGGGAGTCACCTTGAGGAATCCGGATGTCGATGTTGGATAAAGTCGGTGATCCGTCCGGAGTCCAGGTGAAGAATCCATTACTGATCTGGAAGAAAGAGGAGCAATTGGAAGCCACAGAGAAGGAAGACCGACCAATCCCATCCCAACCGGTTCCATCCCGACCAATCCCATCCTGACCGATCCCGTCTGATCCCGTCCCGACCTGTCCCGTCCCAACCGACCCGTCCCGACCGATCCCATCCTGACCGATCCCGTCCGATCCCATCCCGACCGATCCCATCCCGACCAATCCCACCCCGACCAATCCCGACCGAATCATATCCTGACCAATCCCATCCTGACCGACCCCGTCCCGACCGATCCCATCCCGACCGATCCCATCCCGACCGGTCCTGTTCCGACCAATCCCATCCTGACCAGTCCCATCCCGATCAGTATAGGTCCAGTACAGAACCCCAATACAGGTCCAGTATAGAACCCAATACAGGTCCAGTATAGAACCCCAATACAGGTCCAGTATAGAACCCCAATACAGGTCCAGTATAGAACCCCAATACAGGTCCAGTATAGAACCCAATACAGGTCCAGTATAGAACCCCAATACAGGTCCAGTATAGAACCCAATACAGGTCCAGTATAGAACCCCAATACAGGTCCAGTATAGAACCCCAATACAGGTCCAGTATAGAACCCCAATACAGGTCCAGTACAGAACCCCAATACAGGTCCAGTATAGAACCCCCAATACAGGTTCAGTACAGAACCCCAATACAGGTCCAGTGTAGAACCCAAATACAGGTCCAGTATAGAACCCCCGAATACAGGTCCAGTACAGAACCCAATACAGGTCCAGTATAGAACCCCAATACAGGTCCAGTACAGAACCCCAATACAGGTCCAGTATAGAACCCCAATACAGGTCCAGTACAGAACCCCAATACAGGTCCAGTACAGAACCCAAATACAGGTCCAGTACACGAGGTCCAGTATAGAACCCCAATACAGGTCCAGTACAGAACCCAATACAGGTCCAGTATAGAACCCCAATACAGGTCCAGTACAGAACCCCAATACAGGTCCAGTACAGAACTTAATACAGGTCCAGTACAGAACCCCAATACAGGTCCAGTACAGAACCCAATACAGGTCCAGTACAGAACCCCAATACAGGTCCAGGTACAGAACCCAATACAGGTCCAGTACAGAACCCCAATACAGGTCCAGTACAGAACCCCAATACAGGTCCAGTACAGAACCCCAATACAGGTCCAGTACAGAACCCCAATACAGGTCCAGTACAGAACCCCAATACAGGTCCAGTACAGAACCCAAATACAGGTCCAGTATAGAACCCAATACAGGTCCAGTATAGAACCCCAATACAAGTCCAGTACAGAACCCAAATACATGTCCAGTATAGAACCCCAATACAGGTCCAGTACAGAACCCCAATACAGGTCCAGTACAGCGCTGTATGACTACAATATCAGGTGGCGC